ATATATATATACATATTCATGTTTTGCCCTCTTTTCTTTTAAAGATGCTATTTAGTATTGTCTAACATAGTTCGTTATTAGTTTACCTTTTCCCGAATGCGTAGCGAAGGGTTCTCGTTTAACTCTGGGGGTCTGGGGTAGAGCCTTGTTCGTGACCCGTTGTCTCAGCGTCCGCAACCGTCCTCAACCGTTCGCTGCCGACCGCAGTAGGACGCTAAGGCCGCTGCTATTGGGGGAAGCTTTTGGAATCAGTTTCGCATGGAAGCGTGATGTGTCAGATTCGTTTGAAATAGCGAGGAATCGTGTGGAAACGTAAGATGTTGAAATGGGGAAGATGATTTCACTGCGCAGGCGCAGCGTTTTGTGAGATCCGCAGTTTTCTGCGCAGCTCCGTTAGGATTAGCGTTTGGAGAGTGGTGTTTTTGGGGTGTTGGGTGTGGCTGTGTCATTGGGATTTGCGATTCAGGGTGTTGCATCGAAGCTCTGCTTTCGTGACAAGTCTCAGCTGAAATGGCGATTTTGGTGGATGGGAGTATGGGAGTGTGCTCAGAACGGGTGGAAATCATTCCAAACGTGGTGCAAACTCGTTGAAGCTCACATGATATGATATTGTTACTTTTCGTGGCAGGCGCAGTACTTTGTGCGGGTTTTGAGGTATGGAAGTTTTCCTGGCAGGCGCAAGGAATCGTGAAGTTGCGAGGTGTGACGGAGGTGACATTTCGTGGCAGGCGCAGTACTTTGTGCGCGTTAGACGTGTGGACGCGGAAAGTTGCGTGGCAGGCGCAGGGAATCGTGAGGTTGTGAGTTGTGGTAGAGGTGAATGTCGCTGTGACACTGGGATTGGCGTGTGAGCGGGTGTTGTTTGGAGGGGCTGGAGTCGCGAAACTGCTTGGCAAGGCCCACAAAAGTGTCCCAGAAGAGTGTCCCAGCAGAGTGTCCTGTAAGAGTGATCCACAAGAGTTTCCTACAAGACTCTCACAAGAGTGTCCCACAAGAGGGTCCCAGAAGAGCGTCCGACAAGAGTGTCCCACAAGAGTGTCCCATACGACTGTCCTACAAGAGTGTCTCGCAAGAGTGTCCCCCAAAAAATAGTAAAAGGACAGTTGAAAGAACCGCCTGAACCATCACAATTTTTTAGGAAGAACCACCGCATATACCAAGAACAATATGTTTTTTAGAAAATAAATAAGGTTCATAAATCATAACCTTATTCATTTAACTTAGTTCCTTGAAAA